AGCTATATTGTCTCAGATATATTCAATAAAAGGCTACTACACACTTACAAGATGTATTATAGAATATTTAATGGATCATATTAGCTTTTAAGAAGTAATACAATGAAAGTCGCTTCTAATTTAATATTTATTGTAACAGTCTACAGTTGATAATACTATTTTAAGTCACATTATTATACACATAGGTTTCGTTTGTGTCATATAACCTTGACCGAAAGAGATATTATGTTAATGTTGTTACTTTGACTTTTTCAACATTTATCTTGTGTTGACATCGTACTATTTTTAGGGAATTAATCAGATACATATGGTATATTTTATGTACAAGCGAGTGTCTCATCTTGATAGATGCGTTTATCTACAGTAGGGTCATGATGATATTTTAGATATACGCAAGACTGAAAAAGAATTTTTTTTGCTTAATATTATACTGAAATTATCATTTACAAAATTGTATTAGAGATTTTCATGATATTGCTTTTAAATCTTGCATCTGTTATCAAAAATAAAAAGAATTTTTTTGTCAGATAATTTCTTTTTTTTTCATAAATACGTATTCACACATACAGACATAAAAAAAACAAACAAAAAAAAGGTTAGTCTACATCATTGAGCTATATGAAAGAACTTGAACGAATGAGAAAAGAAAACAATCGTCTATACTGATACATTATAGTTCCGAATCCATAACTAAAATAAATAAATAAATAAATAGATTTAGTTACATAAATAAATAATAAACTTACTTTCTGGAGTTAGAGAATCGATTTTTTTCTCTTGTAAATCATTTAATATTGGTAAAAGAGTTAAAATCTATTTAAATTAATAAAATATTATATGCATATATATGTATATATTGATGTTCATACCTGTAATAAACTACGAAATACTGTTCGTGCTCCACTTTGCGAACGTGTTGTTAACATTTGCGTATATAATGTATATAAATAACAATATAAAATATGACGTATTGTTTCTTGATCATAAAGTGTTTCATCTAAAATATTCATTTTATAATAAAAAATTTCATAGCAAAAATATTTATTTACCTTTCATACAAATAACAACGGGAAATATTAATGCATATTCTTCTTGTGTTAATTTTAATGCATTAAATTTTTGTGCAAATTCAAACATTATTTCAACCATGTCTTCACCAATTATTTTATTCATCCATTTACGAGTATATTGTAAACCATTAGGTAACATAATATAAGATTCATTATTTTGTAATAATGGTGCATGTTTTATCTAAAACATTCATTTATAAAAATTTAAAAAAACAAAATTATAATAAAAATATTTACCATCCAAAAATCAAATAAACGATTGTTCATCATTTTATGAAAATCATCAGAATCAATTTCATTTATAGCTGGCATCTATAATACAAAAAAACAAAATTAACTATCTGTGTATCATATATAATTAATCGATAAAAAGGAAATGAATCCGATATTATAGACTATTGTAACTGTATTCCTCATTGAACTCTATTATAATTGGTGTGTACAAGAGAAAGTTATGTTCCAAATGTCATGTAGCTAATCCTTTATGTATGAATGAGTTTAGTAAGGTCAAAAAATATGTTTATGCGTACCTCACGGGAAAATGTAATGAGATTCTTGACATGGAATGGTATAGCATCTAGAAATACATTTATTGATTAAATTACAAAGAAATTTTGTTTTTTCCAATTACCTGATAATCCAGCTCGGATATCTTGAATAGATGACCAATCACCGGGAAAATCTTTAGTCTAAAATTACAAAATTTAATTTTTAATATAAAATTCATAATTTTTATATTTACTCCACTATTAAGCATGCTATTCATTCTTTCAATTAATTGTTTGGTACATCCATTATGTGTATTACTTAAATCAATCATTTTCGATCGTAAATATTGAATGAACGATGAATTTTCTTCACCAAGTTCGATAGATGTTATTGGTTGAGATAATTTTGTTACAAGACTTTTAATACGAGCAAGAACATTATTAGAAAATTGCTCTTCATCATTAACTGTACAATTTTTTTGATTTGAACGATTTACTTTCGATTGATTTGTTCCAAATTGATGTTTCATATCATCTTTAAGAAAATTATTCGATGATGAGAAT